GGTACAGCTGAGGTCTCAATCTGGTGAAAGTTGACAGCCTCCCATAAAGATTGGGGACCACTGATTTAGGCTGTGCATGTAAAGTGCACATAGAGTGACCAGATAACAAGGGTGAAAAATTGAGACACTTTTTTGGTGGTGTGGGTGGTAATAGTTGCCCATATAAAACATAGCCCCTAATATCGGGACATCTGGTCACCCTAAGTGGATATGCTGTGGCATAGAAGACTTGGTTTTCTGAGTGCATCATATCTTATATTTATTGTCAACAATGTATGTTCTTCAGTGGGTCTTCTGTTGTACCAGGAATCGGCAACCTCTGGCACGCGGCCTGCCACGGTAAGCACCCTGGCGGGCCGGGCTGTTTTTTTTACCTGCCGCGTCCGCAGGTTCAGCCAATTGTGGCTCCGACTGGCCGCGGTTCGCTGTCCCAGGCCAATGGGGGTGGCGAGAAGCGGCGCAGGCCGAGGGATGTGCTGGCCGCCGCCCCCATTGGCCTGGAGCGGTGAACCGCGGCCAATGGGAGCTGCGATCGGCCGAACCTGCAGACGCGGCAGGTAAACAAACCGGCCTGGCCTGCCAGGGTGCCTACCCTGGTGGGCCATGTGCCAAAGGTTGCCAATCCCTGTGTTATACCCTTCCAGACCTTTTTGATATAACTGAACTAACTAGATAGAACTGTAGTGGCTGGACAACCTAGTGTTTGTACAAAATGTAAATTGATAGCTCCCCCCTTGTCTTTAGGGATCTACTTTTTCTCCAGCTGCTCACAACACTATCCTTTTTTTCCTCTCACATCTTTATATCCCATATATCACCTTCTTTGACAATAGCCCCATATTTAAATAATTCACACAGCTCTTTTAAATGTTGTTTTTAAAATTGATAATCTTTAAGTCTGTGTGCAACTCTCTCTGAAGCCCAACAGACAGGTATGTAAGTAAGCTGTTCTTTCTTTTGCAGAATGCTGCACTGTGTAGTAATATTTAATTTTTAGTATTTGGAGCAGTATGTTTTTCTCTTGCCCCTTAGAAAAAGAAATCCTAATAGATTAGACTGCCTTGAGGAAACACTTAAAGATGGGCTCATTATCTAATCAACTACTTTTTTGGTGTGTGGTATGGAGGCAGGTTTACTAATTTTGACAGTGTCTCTTTTAATAATTAGATACAGTGTTTGATATCTGGAGCCATTTTCAATCAAGATGAGCTTCCTGCTGCCCAAACTGACCAGTAAAAAGGAAGTGGATCAGGCAATAAAAAGTGTAGCAGAGAAAGTTTTGGTTCTTCGATTTGGGAAAGATGATGATCCTGTTTGTCTGCAATTGGATGATATTGTAAGAGCAATTTTTAAAAACGTTTTATTGATGCTATGCCAATCATTACATACACATTTAGTGCAACAGAATTAAATGACATGTGATACTATCACATAATATAGAAGGAGCCAGGTTACTATTAAGTTATTAGTGTACTGGGAATGAAATGTAAAGTGGACTAATTAGAGAATACTTCACTCCCTTCGTAAGAGTGTGGTGAAAATTAATCATTGTTAGGGCTCCATGTCTGTCACAGAGGTCACGGATTCCATGACTTTCCGTGACTTCTGCATGGGCCAGTGGGGTTAACCCCAGGGTCGCCCAAGCAGCTGGCTCCAGGGCCAGCTACTGCAGTCCGAGACCCTGAGCAGCAGTCCCTGGCTGGCAAGCCGGAGCAGCCGCCGTCCTGGGCACTGGTCCCCAGCCAGCTGGCCGGAGTGTCCACAACCCCGGGCAAGAGTCCTTGGACAGCTGGCTGGAGCAGCTGTAGTCTGTGGCCCCTGGCAGCTGGAGCCGCTGGCCTCAGACACCCTCCCCAGCAGCGCACCCCCCCGCCATGCGCCCTCCAGCAGCAGCCCCCACCCCACATACACACAGCATGCCCCTCCCCCATTTAAACACAGGTATTTTTAGTATAAGTCATGGACAGGTCCCATACAGGCTGTGAATTTTTGTTTATTGTGTCTGACCTGTCCGTAACTTTGTCTGTAACTAAAAATAGCCTTAATCATTGTTTGCAAAGAACTTTGAAAAGTGCTATATAAACTTTACTTTATAGCATTTGTATATAGTACAATTAGGGGTGCAGGACACCTCACAGAGAGAATAAAGACATGGAGTTATATCCTAGTCCCACTGAAGTCAGTGGGAGTTTTGCCATTGACTTCAGTGGAGCCAGGATTTCTTCCTGATTCTTTCACCTGAGCAGTTAGACTACACAGTAATAAAAACAGCTGTACCCTTTCTACAATACAGCTTCCACCATTGCTGTCAATGGTGGAAGTGCACTCATGGAAAATTACAGGATTGATTTTTTCCCCCAGTGTGAATGCACACAAAGGGAAGTTAAATATTTGGCCTTGGCCATCCAGCAAATGGTAGAAGTGGTCTTACAAATCAGGCATTTCTGTTTCCAGGTCTCATGCTACGATCACTAGTCCATGCTGCTTATGTTTGAAACAAGATGGACTAATATTTATATTTAAAATTCAGTAATGTTAAAATATCCATGATGTTTTCTCATGAGACAAACATTTCTCCATCTGATAATTAATTGCCATGAGAGAGGTCTTTGCTTCCTTATGCTTGCACAACTGATTCTTTACAGTGACCAAAACATGATATTGGAAAAAATCATGTGCTCAAAGCAGCAACCCGATTATGAATTAATTATAAAATAAATTTGTTAAAGATAAAGATCCGTCTTTCACTACTTCTGACTCTCCCTTATTTAAAAAACAAGGTTAGCAATTACAGCTGTGCTTTTAAACTTGGCATGTTTTGCCTACTTATGTTAGAATCTGTTTTGATCATGTCTTTCTCAATTTCTAAAGCTTGCAAAGACATCTCATGACTTAAGTAAAATGGCAGCCATTTACTTGGTGGATGTGAACAAGGTGCCAGTGTACACCCAGTATTTTGACATCAGTTATATTCCATCTACTGTCTTTTTCTTCAATGGACAGCACATGAAAGTGGATTATGGGTACGTCAGTTTGCATGAGGTTCTCTTCTGTTTACCATAATTAGCATAGTCTCTGCCTATGTTATCTTATGAGCTGGCTTGAGAAAACTGTACTTTCCTTTGTCAGTAGTTGCATGAATATTGAAAGAGAGAAGGCCAAGTAATGAATGGGCAGAGATGCTGAACTACGCCTTCCATTTTGAAATTTAGTTAAATTTACCCTCTCATTTAGTACTGTGTAAAAAAACTCTTTGATACATTTCACAGATGATGTGCAGTATATTGTTACACTTGACTCTGTTCTCCATGTTAAATTCTTGGTCATACCACCCAATTTTTCTAGGTTTTTGAAGTCTGGTCACAATAATTCCTATATTGCCTTGTCTCTTTACTTCATGTATACCATACCAGAGTAGTTCAAGCCATAAGAATGACTAAATCGAAATTCTCCTTTCTGTTGTATAAGTTTTCATGTCTTTAAAAAGTTTGTTTCATACACTTTAACAGGCATTTACATTTCTACTGTCTTTATCTGCTCCATAGGTCTCCAGATCACACTAAATTTGTGGGAAGCTTTAAAACAAAGCAAGACTTCATAGATTTGATTGAAGTGATTTACCGTGGAGCAATGCGTGGAAAGCTCATCGTACAAAGTCCTATTGATCCAAAAAATGTTCCCAAATATGACCTTCTCTATCAAGGAATTTAAAATATTGATTTGAGATGAGCAAAACTTGTGTATTCGTCTTGAAGATCATATTGGTCACCCTTTGAAGACAGACATTCTGTCACTTTCTTATAAATAAAGGTACATGTTTACTTGTATGAGTCACATAAATTATTCTCTGAGATGCACACCATCTAATGGTTATGAAATGGTGCTTTGAGGGTGAAAGTATCTCTGATGTGGCATCAGTGAGTGAACAAATCACATTAAAGCATGAGCGTGTACTGCTTTGTGATCATTTAATACTATTCTCAATAGGAACAGTATGCAAACAATTGACCGTTTTTTCATTTTTGTTTTAAAATAACCCTTCCATTTTGCATATTTCACCAATTACCGCCTTCCTATGTAAGTAAATAATTCTGTCCCTTATTGCTAGCAGCGGAGTGGGAATTCCTAGAAGCAGCAGCAGAGCGTGGTTAAGTCTACCAGTGAGCAAAAAGTTAGAGGGAAACTATTACTCATTCTTCAGGCACAACCAATACCCTCAAAAGATCCTGGCCAAAATGGAAACTGAGGCCACAACTAAACATTAACGTTCTGACATCTTTTAAGGCTCAATCTTGCAAGGACTTGAGCATCCTTAACTCCCACTGATGCGAATAGGAGCCAAGAATAACCATTTTGTTTCCATTTACTATACAAATAACGGGGGGTTATTTTACTTTCCAACATGCTGCAATCATTCAGTCTGAAAAGGAGTTAAATGAGGCCGAATTAATTACTAGAGTAATCTCACTGGTTTCATTGGAATGACACTGATAATAAATTTGGTCCACTGTATATTATGTTTAGACTATCTCATTTCTCTGACTGGAGGAAGGTGGTAATGTATGGTTCAGTGAAGAATCTTTAGATGACAGACTAGTGTCCAAAGGGAAGCAGTAGAAACCCCCGTGCTTGAGACATCCAAAACAAGACTGGAAAAAATATTGGAGAATATTTAAGGAACCGCTGGGCACTGCCAGGTGAGTGGATAGGCTAATGTTAGATTTGTAGGGTCTTTAGCATTAATTTCATATGCCAAATTGCCCTTTACAGTGAAATTTACGGATTTTTTGCTGACAAAATCTACTTAGCTCAGATATGCACAAACTTCACAACATAAGCTTTCAGAATCAACACAGGTAAACTCTGGCTCATCTTAACACCGTTACTATGTACCATTTTAAAGTGCAGGAATAACAGCAGAGCTCAAGTTTAAAGCTCCCATGAATTATTTTTTTGAAACTGCAATAATTAGCTTCCAAAAAGAAAAGACCAAACTTTTCTAATGTTTGGTGATAACTTTATTTGTTCTCGCAATTAGTTTTTCAACAACAATAAAAATCAGAAACCCAATATCACCCTTATGGCTATAAATCACTCTGCAATGCAAGGAAACTAACATGGCAGCTTCAGTTTCAAGCTTCCACGGAGTGGTTTTAAAGAGGGAGAAGAGTCCTGAAAAATACTTCAGCATGTATTGCCTCTCTTCTTATTTTTGCTGCTCCTTGTTACAATAGGAGAACGAGATAAAGCTACTGTGTTCTTAGCTTTCAGTGTGCTCTTCAGGTACTTGAAAATGGCCTGTAAGGTGGAGGATGGTGCTAAACTGTATTTTTCAGTCCCAGCAGAGACTGTAGGACAGTCCACTTTCACAAGGGAACCTGTGGGTCTATCTAGAGGTTTACTGTTTGTTATCCATTCACGGCAATGTTTCTGTATCCATTCTTGCACATGTGGATTATTTTTCACCTGGTGTAATGTGTGGTGCATGGAGTCAATAAGTGCCACAGAATACACTTTATTCATCACTTCCCATGTTCTCTGCATGAGCAGGTTGATGAAAACCAAGCCTCCGTAGCCATGGGCAATGAAGGCAACATTCTTGGCTGCGCTCTTTGAAATAAAATTATCCCAAATGTAAATGGTGTGCTCTTCAGGGCTGCTGCTGCATCTCTTTGGGATCCAGCAGGAGGAATTTACAGTGGAAGATTCTTCCTTGGTAGATAAACTTAACCACTCATCTTCCATCTTCAGATCAATGAAATTGTCATTGGGATTTAAAACAATCACTCCTCCATAGCACTGAAGGGCTGTTTTAATGAATGGTATTTGAGTTCCAGGGTCCAGGCCCTCATGGATTATGGTCTTCAGCCCCCATTGACCAGCCCGAAAGACTCCACGGTCTTGTAGGAGCACGATTAGGCTTGAGGAATTAGTTAATGCTTTCTCACTGATGAAAAATAAACTCCTGGGTTCATCTTCTGTAGCATCTGTTGGGATGTGGACTTTCTGAAGCTTGCAGACTCTTTCCAAGAGCTCATAAACATACCGTGTAATGAGATGCCCCAGAACTTGATAGCGTTTATGGTTACTCTCATGTGCATTTTTATAATAATTAAAGACAAAGGGCTCATTGGTATCTAGATGCTTCAGTTCACCATTTTTGTTGAAGTCATATTTCAGTTGTTCTGGACACTCTGAACTCTCTACTAATTTCCTGAAGCTTAACTCCGGCTCCATTTGCAACTGCAACAAATAAAACAGATGACGCCATTACAATTCTAGACTTGGTTTATTTTTTTAAACATAATTTCTCAGGCCACTGATTCTGAAATTGTGGCATATGGACTACACATGGAACACAGAACACTAGTCTTCACCAAGCTGGCTACTCCCTGCCTTCTAATTGCTAAATTACATAAAAAGAGGCTAAAAACACACTAAGTACTTTCCTAACTCTATTTTGCCACAAACAATTGCTATAGTTGCCAAAAGGAGGTTATAGGATCAAGAATGGGAGACAAAGTAATCCACACAATCATGAATGGTAGGGGAGAAGGTCCACAAGAAAATATGTCTTTTAAGATTGATTTGAGTAATCTTTTAAGATTAAAAAAAATTGAGAACCCCTATTTTAGGCAGTGTAATTTTTTGATTGTCTTCTATTGTAACTGATCAAAATTGCAGCAGCAAGAGTTTGGTATACTTTTAGGCTTTGTGTACAGCTTAGCATTTTTATCCATTTTTCTATCCGACTCCTCCCCCCAACCCTTTAGTGTAGGTGGGAGAGTGCAAGCTAGCCCTTCTTGCAGCTGCAATACTGCTTTGACAGGAGTTCTGTGCTAGCATCAGGGAGAGCTGCTGGCACAGAACTCCCATGATCATAGACAATTTCTTTTAGTGTTGTCTGTTTCTGTATACTAATTTTAAATTTGATAAATGGTTTGACTTAAGCCAGGGTACTTGAATAAAACTGCATGGTGGATTGATTTAAATCAAAGTGAGAGGTTTTTAAGAACAGGTTAGACAAACGCCTATCAAGATGCTCTCGGTCAGTGGTACTCAGACTGAGGCTCGCCAGCTGCAACTGGCTCTTTAATATATCTCCTGCCGCTCTTTGCAGCACATGATATTAAAACACTGTGTGATTTAATTATTAACCAATCAAAGTTATTAACCAATCAGGATGCTTTTACGATGTTATTTATCAATTTTAGTTGATAAAATAATAATACTTGGTCAATCATTTTTCTGTGAGTGTGTGTATATATATATATATATATATATATATATATATAGTA